TTCTCATTGTCACGCTGTGGGTTGTATAGGCGCCACAGGCACGAACTACTTGAGGCATAGGGATCAAACAACGTTTAATTATATTTTATTAGGGTGAACAAAATATCGTTGCGATCCAAAACATAGTATCAATATCAGAAAGCAACAAGTGCTGGACAAGAAGGAAGGAGGAGGGACGAGAGGAAAGAAGGAACACACATAGGAAAGGAAAGCAACGAAGGACGGAAGGAAGGAAGGTAGGTAGGTAGGAAGGAAAGAGAGTAGGAAGGAACGAAGGAGCGAAGGAAGACAGGTTCGAGGTCCGGAGTGTTGCAAAAACAATTCAGAGCACTATGTCGCACGACAAGCTTAAACTCCAAACGTGCAAATACCATGCGAGATATAGGTATTTATCTTCAAGCATCTTGCATGACAGATTTAAGTTCCCAAATTCCAACATGTTACACAAATGCTTGCCTCCAACTACCTACATACAGAACAAGAACAAGAAAAAGAAGAGAGCATGAGCAACCCGAACGACACGGGGAGAGGTGCTGCGCCCTCTTTGCCAAACTCCCTCGGAAGCAAAGAATATAGCGCCCGTAGGCAGCCCTGAAAAACGAATGCATATCTCGAAAGAAAATGGGCAGGCCTGACAAAGAAGGTAGTGAGGACAACAAGAATGTCTGCCCAAAAGCATTTGGAACGCGTGGGTTTGGAAAGCCTAAGGTTTGATCCCTCTGGATTTTTTCCATCCCAATAATAATTTATGTTTGATCCCTTTGGATTTTGGATCCCCAAAATAGTTTTTTTCCCCAGGCAGTGTTTCCACACTGAGGGGTTCTTAAGGTAGGTGGAAAGGCCTGTGCTTGATCAGGGTGCTCTGGCTTTTTTGCTGTTTATAAATTCCCGCAAAAACGGACAGGCTCGCACAAAACAGTTGTGCCTGTCTCGGGGTGCGGCATTTTTCTTTTGAATTCTCGCATAAGATTGCTTTAAACAGTGTGTCCACACTGGGGGGTTCTTACGGTAGGTGTAAAGGCCAGTGCTTGATCAGGGTGCTCCATCTGGGGCGCAGCATTTTTCGTGTAAATTCTCGCATAAAATGGCTCTTGTGACATGTCCATGTGCATTTCGACTGCGGAGGCTCTGCGCCCTGAGTTTTCCTCGATCTTGGTCTGTGGCATTTTGCCTGAGCATTGTCGGAAAAATCCCAAACCGTGTGTCCACACTGTGGGGTTCTTACGGTAGGAGTAAAGGCCGGTGCTGGGTCGGGGTGCTCCATCTGGTTTCCGTTTTTTCCCTGTCAATTCCCGCGCAAAATTGCTCTTCCAACATGTCCATGTGCATTTTACATGTCCATGTGCATTTTACATTGCGCAGGCTAGCACAAAGTCTGCCGCCCGAGCTTTCCTTGGTCTTGGGGCGCGGCATTTTTCTTGTAATTTCTCGCATAAAATGGCTCTTGTGAGATGTCCAAGTGCATTTCTACAGCGCAGGCTCGCATAAAGTGTGGGTCGCGGTCTTATCATGGTCTTGGCGTGGGCTTTTTTCTTCAAACATTTCGCAAAAAATGGCTTTCCAAGTGGATTTCTCGCTCTCGCTCAAATGGCTCTTGTGACATGTCCATGTCCATGTCGACCGCGCAGGCTCGCGCAAAGTGTGGGTCGCGGTCTTATCATGGTCTTGGGGCGCGGCATTTCCCCTGAGGATTGTCGTGTCGTAACATGGTTCTTGTGAGATGACTTCTCGAATAGAATGGCTCTTGTGGAGATCCTGCTAAATTTCTCTCTTAAGAGGCCCTTGCCCTTGCATGATCCTGACATGTTGTTAGACGCCTTTGCATGATCTTGGACTGTCGACGCCATAGTGGTGTTGACTTTGGTCATTCGGGCCCTTGGCACGGCTTCGCACGGCCGTCTGGGTAGCATCGCCTGGACGGTGTGCTGCTCACGCCATGCCGTGCTGTGGCACCGGACTTTGACTTGGTGCACTCGTGGCGGTTCGCCGGCGTGTGGATTGAATGCTTGGCCCCGTTCTCGTGGTTGGGCTTTTGATGCTGAGTGGAAATGGACTCATGCTGATACTGGTCACACGTTGAACTTGAATGATGATGGTCATCATGGTGAAGGCCGGTTATTGGCAGCACATGGTTTCATTCGTGCGTTTCGTGGCTCGGCTGCCTGGGGCGTGGTTTCGTCCGTGCTTCGGGTGGCTGGCTCCGTGTGGTTGTTTTCCCCCTTTTTTGGTTTGGGGTGGTTGTGGTTTCTGCGGCTCTCTTCTGGGCTGCGGCTTCCTTGCTGTGGTCTGCTGCGGGGGCAGTTTACTGCTCCCCAGCGCTCATGTGCTGTCTACTTGGGGGCAGTTCATGGATAAAGTGATGATGCGCGGCCCAGGTAACCAGCTGGGTTTGCGCGATGTGCTTGGGCATATTGCTTCCTTGCAAGCGCGGCTTCGGCAGCATGAGCACGATGCTAAAACTAGTCGATTAGCGAATGGCGGCAAAACCTGGCTACTTCTGATGCGGCGTTGTCACGGTGGCTCAAGAGTAAGATCAACCCTGTTGGTGTTGCTGTGGCCGGCCTTGACGACAACATTGCTGAAACTGATGTTGCGGCTGCCGGGGTCTTGTTTAAATACTGGGAAGGGTTTTGGAATCAGTGCGCTGCTTCTCGTCCTTCTCTTGAGCTTAGGGTCCAGCCCATGCTTGAGGACATTCAACAGCTTCCTGTTTGTAATTGGAGGGCGGCCATCTGAACAAGAGTTGCGGGCCATTGCTGCATTCATTGCTTGTGACAGCAAGGGATCCTGTGGTCCTGATGGCTGGCAAGGGGTTGAGCTTTCTTGGCTTGCTCTTGAGATTTGGGAGTGTTTTTTGTTGCTAACGAAGGGGTGGCTTGCTTCTGGTTCTGTCCCCTTTCAGATGTGTGAGAGCCGTATGCTTTGCTTCGCGAAACCTGGGACACCAGGCCTATCACCCTTTTATCCGCCTGGTGGCGGGTTTGGAGCAGTGCTTGGGCCCGTGGGGCCGTTCGTGCTTGGATGCGTGCTCATGTCCCCAGGGAGTTTGCTGTTGCTCACGCCGCCCCCACTGGGGAGGTTGTGGTCGAGTTGCTTGAGCATTTGTCCACGCACGGTTACCTCATGACTTTGGATTTTAGTAAAGCTTGTGACTGCCTTGATCCTTTGGTCGCCCACGAAGTTTTAATCCATTTAGGTTGGACTTGTGATTTGGTGGATGTCCTGGTTACCGTTTGGAATGATCAGCAGAGGTGGGTGTCATTTCAATCCCACATCCACCCTTTGACCGTGTCTGGTCCGTCCATGCCCCAAGGTGACCCTTTGGGTCCTGTCATCATGACCATTTCGGCTTGGCTTGGTTGGTGCCAGGTTGAAAGGAGTTGCCGTCCTGACCCTCATTTCATGTCTCGTGTGTATGTCGACGACCGGTCTTTCGCGTCGTCCCGTGCTTGGTCTATCCATGATAGGTTTCATGCTTGGAGCGCGTGGTCTACCTCCGTTGGCTTGCTTGAAAGCAATGCGAAGCCACGCCGGCTCGCACTCGAAGGGGCTCCAGCCGCACCAGTGCCCTGATCGCTCACCAATGCGTCACCGCTGCTAGAGTCTGCTAGAGCCCGACTGTGTTGGCATACGGCTGGATGTAGCAGGCTCACCAGAACACAGCTTCGTCGATGGACTTGCGGTCACCACACCGACGCTATGCTCAGAGCTCAAATGCCTGCCCGATCGTGAGGACATATTCAAGCATGCTGCACTCGTCTTTGAAGTAGCACCACGCTGACCAGTGCTGGAGCCCGAACGTAAAGGCATACGCTTTGATGAAGAACCAGCTTCATGGCTCCCTGCGCTGCTCACGCCCGGCGGGCGACTTGTTGCCAATGACGTGGAGTTGCTTGGCTCTTGCAGCATGATATGTAGACGCGGCCTTCTTCCTAAGGAGTCGGCTCGGGTGGATGCTTGTAGAGGGGTTTTGGCCTTGCGTTGGCTTGTGCCCACCTCTCTTTTGAAAGATACATGAGAGCTTGCCGTCAGTTTGCCATTTCCAAAGTTGCTTACGTTTGGATTGCGCGTGCCCCTCCTCTGACCTTGTGTGTGCAGTCGTGGAGCTGTGTGCATGTTGGCAGTCGCCGCATTCGGTCGGCTTCGGTGTGGTTACGTGCTGCCCTGTTTGGGGGCGGCAGGCATCTCGATGTGTTGTTTGCCACTCAGTTGGTTGGTATCCTGTCTCGCTTGCGCAGCAGGCGTGTCTGAACTTGGTGCACTCGGAGTGGCTCTCCTGCTCATGCTTTGCATGCTTGGTTGTTGTCCCGGTGGACCAGGGCATCTGATTGGAAGTGGACGCATGACATGACTCGCCCCACTTGATTTGACTGTTGCGGGCGAGCCTGGTGCCCGTCAACATATTGTCAGATGCCTGGAGGGCTTGGTGCTTGCAACGTCACATGTCTTCGTCGCGTCGGGATGCTGACTTGGATTGCTTGGATGAGCATGGGTACTTTCATCGGATTGACTGGGCGGCTACCGTGGGAAGTTTACCTCATCGGGCCCTGAAGCTCGCACAACAGCACAGGTGCTTGCTTTTCGCCCGTGGCACTTGGGGGTCGTGTTGACTGCGTGGCTGAGACTTGCATTTGGTTTGGTTGTGAGGAGCGTTTGATCACATCGCTTGGTCTTGCCCGTGTCGCCCCACTTCTGTTGAAATACCGCCCAAGCCTGGCGAGTTCTTATCGTCTTGTTTTGGGTGGGTTGTGTGTAACTCTCGGGTTGACATGGTGGCTGTTCAATCTTGGATTGTGCATGTGCAAATGACGGTTTGGTCGCATGTTCATTCCAATTGATTGTTGGTTGTTTGTGCCCAGCTTGTCCGGCTTGCCATTGGTGCCTGTCCCTCCTCCTGGCATTGTGGAGCGCGGTGCCTTTGTTCGTGCCTGGCCCTTTGGGGGTGCGGGTGCTGCATCTGCGCCTCGCTGGCCGGTGATTTTTGTCCGGTTTTCCCTTGTTTGGGGTTGGTTGAGGTTTCGGGCTTCTGTTGGGCCCTTTGCTTCCTTGGTGTGTTTGCGTGGGCTGCTGCTGCTGCCGCTGCGGCTGCCCTGGCTGTCTACTTGCGCCATGGGAACGTTGTTTCTGTCCAGGATACGCGCCCCATCACGGTTCTTTCTACCTGGTGGCGGCTTTGGAGCAGTGCTTGGACCCGTGGTGTTGTCCGTGGTTGGATGAGGTCGCATATCCTCAGGGATTTCGCTGTTGCTCATGCTGTCTCCACCGGTGAGGTGGTGGTTGATCTTTTGGATCATTTGTCGGAGCATAGGTACATGATGTCGTTGGATTTCAGCAAAGCTTTTGATTGTCTTGATCCTTTAGTTACTCGCGAGGTTCTTCTGCGGTTGGGTTGGGACCCTCGCGCTGTGGCTGTGCTTACCGCCGTTTGGTCTCGGCAAAAACGGTGGGTGATTTATCAGTCGCATACTCATCCGGTGACGTTGTCTGGCCCATCAATGCCGCAGGGCGATCCGATGGGCCCGGTGATCATGACTATTTGGGCGTGGCTTGGGTGGCTTTGGGTTGAATGACATTCCAGGCCTGATCCTCATATCATGACGCGTGTGTATGTTGATGATCGTTCTTTTGGGACGTCTCGCATTTGGTCTCTTCATGACAGGTTCCATCAGTGGTCCAGCTGGTCTTGGTCGGTTGGGCTGCAAGAGACCCAGGTCAAAGCTGTTGCTGTGGCGTCCACCCCTGCCAGCAAAGCTTTTGATTGTCTTGATCCTTTAGTTACTCGCGAGGTTCTTCTGCGGTTGGGTTGGGACCCTCGCGTTGTGGCTGTGCTTACCGCCGTTTGGTCTCGGCAAAAACGGTGGGTGATTTATCAGTCGCATACTCATCCGGTGACGTTGTCTGGCCCATCAATGCCGCAGGGCGATCCGATGGGCCCGGTGATCATGACTATTTGGGCGTGGCTTGGGTGGCTTTGGGTTGAACGACATTCCAGGCCTGATCCTCATATCATGACGCGTGTGTATGTTGATGATCGTTCTTTTGGGACGTCTCGCATTTGGTCTCTTCATGACAGGTTCCATCAGTGGTCCAGCTGGTCTGGGTCGGTTGGGCTGCAAGAGAACCAGGTCAAAGCTGTTGCTGTTGCGTCCACCCCTGCGCGGCGCGCCACGTTGCGGAGGGTTTTGCCTGATGCGGTTCGCAATGATGTGGAAATTCTTGGTTCGTGCAGCATGGTTACCAGACGCGGCCTCCTTGGGAAAGAGGCTGGTAGGGTCGACGCTTGTAAACGGACCCTGACTTTGTTATCTTGCGTTCGCTTGCCTTTTGAGCGGTACATGAGAGCTTGTCGGCAATTTGCGGTGTCGAAAGTTGCCTATGGTTGGATTGCCCGTGCGCCTCCTTTGACCTTGTGCACCGCACCCATTTGTGGAGTCAAGTGCATGTTGGCAGTCGTCGTCTTCGGCTTGCTTCTGTTTGGCTTCGGGCTGCTTTGTTCGGTGGTGGCATGCATTTGGATATCCTCTTCGCTACCCAGTTGGTTGGCATTCTTGCGTGCTTGCGTCGGCACCGGACTTTGACTTGGTGCACTCGTGGCGGTTCGCTGGCGTGTGCTTTGAATGCTTGGCTCCGTTCTCGTGGTTGGTCGTTTGATGCTGAGTGGAAATGGGCTCATGCTGATACCGGTCACACGTTGAACTTGAATGATGATGGCCATCGTGGTGAAGATGGTTATTGGCAGCACATGGTTCGTGACGCTTGGCATGCTTGGTGCTTGCGCCGTCACATGTCGTCTTCTCGTCGTGATTCTGCGTTGGATTGTTTCCATGCCGGTTACTTCAAGAGAATCGATTGGGCTGCGACCCGTGCTTGGGCTGCTTCGTGCGCGGAAGCTCGTTCTGTTTGTGTTGGTGCGCTTTTCTCCCCTGCTGCCCGCGGTGGCCGCGGGCCCGGTGAGTTGACGACTTCCTGCATCTGGAATGGTTGCGGTGAGCTTGGCACGTTTGAGCATATTTGCTGGTGTTGTCCTTATCGGCCTCCCGATTTGGACATTCCTCCGAAACCTAACGAGGGCCTCTCTTATCGTTATGGTTGGGTCATCACCAATCAGAGAGCTGACATCGTTGCTGTTCAAGACTGGCTTGTTTATGTGCAGCGCTTGTTGTGGGAACTTGCTCATCCTTCTGCTTGATGGCTTGGCTTGTTGTTTGGCTTGTTGCTTTGTCCTTTTGGCATTTCGGCGGCCATTGGTCTCATTTGCTCACTTCACTCGTTACCTGGGGTGCGATGGTTTCATTCGTGCCTTTGGTGGCTCGGCTGCCTGGAGCGTGGTTTCGTCCGTGCTTCGGGTGGCTGGCTCCGGGTGGTGGTTGGTTCCGTTTGTTTTTCCCCCCCTTTTTGGTTTGGGGTGGTTGTGGTTTCCGCGGCTCCTTCTGGGCTGCGGCCTCCTTGCTGCGGTCTGCTGCGGGGGCAGTTTTCTGCTCCCCAGCGCTCATGCGCTGTCTACTTGGGGGCAGTTCATGGATAAAGTGATGATGATGACCGCGGCCCAGTTGCCGGGTCATCCGGCGCACTCCGGGTGTCTTGACGCCCTGCAAGGGCAGTGACAGTGTGCCTCACAAAGGCACAGTGGCCACTTGGCGCAAACTGAAAGGTTCGGAAGTGCAAAAACAGCTGCTGCGGTTGTGGAACATCTCTCTTAAAGATGCCAACAAGTTTTTCAACAAGAAACCCATGCCTAGGCAAAAGAATTTCCAACCGGATCTGACTAGTCATGGGGACGTTGAACCAAATCCGGGTCCGCTTTCTTTGCAAGTGTTGTGCTGCAATGTCCGGACGTCCACTGGGGCCTGGTCACTGTTGAACCATAGTCGCACCGATGATCCGCACTCATTTTTGGTCTTATGTTTGCAAGAAACCAAGTTCAACCATGGTGAGTTTGAAGCCTTTAGGAGACATGCTCACAGGTCGGGGTTTCGAGTGTTTCATGCTTCTGGCCGCCCGCACGAAAGCAGTCACGGGGCTCCGCTTGAGTTGGGAGGGGTTACCATCATGGTTGATAGCCGCTTGCAGATTGGCCCCCATTATTCTTTGGTTGGTACGCACTCTCAGGTTCTTGGTTTATGGGTCGAAGATTGGTTTATCGCTTCCTTCTATGCCACCCCTTGGGAAAACAGTAAGCAAGTTGACCCCCAAGTTGAAGCTGGTGAACTTTTTAATTCGTTGGCCATCCAGGCTGGGTTCCTCCACACGTGTCGCTGGATCTGTTGTGGTGATGCTAATGAGGTTCCCGATGATAGCGTTTTAAGTTCTTGCTTTCAATTCCATGGTGCCGTCATTCCCAGGCTTCATCAAGGTACCAGGTGGGAAAGTGACAGAGAGATTGATTGGTATGCCATTTGCGCCGATTCTGGAGCCGGTGTGCTAAAAGCACTGGAGGTTCATGTCTCGGATCACAAGGTGTTGTCTTGTGATTTCAAGTTTAAGGACCGGAACACTAAGGTGGGGTATCTGACCAGAGGGCCCAGCTGGGTCCTGCCTCAGGGACTCAACAGAGATCAATGGAAAAAGTTGCTGCAGGACAATTGGGCTCGTCTTCCGTCTGCTGCTCAATTCCTTGAACGCCTGCTCTCCTCAGACTTGCAGGGAACAGTGGAAGACGATTGGAACCAGTTTCTTCAGGTCTTGGACGACCTGCATAGAGAGGCTTTTTGGGAACTTAGTCAGACCTCAGAAGATTCTCGCATCAGCTGTGATGCTGCAGCTCGATGTCGGAACACTGTCGTCAAGGGTCACCCTCCGGCTCGGAAAGAGCGCCACACCAAGCGCTGTAACGCTAAGGTCAATGAAACTGATATGAAGCTGGTTAAGTGTCGAAAGCGGGTCGCCAGGATTTATGAATTGATCCGTCTCACTAAGGAACAAGTTTCAGGCTCTGAGTTATCTGCAGGGTCTCAGCATGTTGCGGCAAGAGCCAACTTGGTTCGACGTCTCAGGCTGGAATCTCAGCCGCCTCTTCGTGAACAGTTGTCTCTGCTCCGTAGGGCTAAGGCGGAACTTCAGGCCATGGAAACTCAGGGTCGGGATGATCGACTTTCCGGGTGGCGGCAGCAGTTCAATTCTGATGTGAAATTTGCTGGAAAATGGTTGAAGTCTTCTGGGTCCACCATAGGGATTCAGATCAAGGATGGCGATGGTACCAGCCGAAGCCCTCAAGAAGCGGTTGAAAAAATCCATAAATATTGGGATCAGTTTTGGCAGCAGCTCAAAGCTGAGACGCCGCCTACTGAACAGATCACTGAGCAGCTTCTCCAAAACACTGTTTCCTTGCCCGAAGAGAGGTTCATAATCCCTTCGGTTCAGGAGCTTGTTAGTGTGGCTGCATCCATGCGGGGATCAGGTGGGGGAGACGCTTGGGTCGGCTCCGAACTCAGTTGTCTGCCGCCGGAAGCTTGGCAGATGTACAGGATCCTGGTTGAAAGGTGGCTGGCCGCTGGCAGAGTTCCTGAAGCCGTCAAAGCGGCCAGAACGGTTTTCTTGCCTAAGGAACACAAGGTCATTGAGGGTGTGCTGCAAGCGGGCGATGCCCGCCCTATCACGGTGTTATCATCTTGGTGGAGGGTATTGACAGGAACTTGGTTGAAGACTTCTCAAGCTCATCAATGGATTTCCCAGATTCTTCATCCGGTTGTGGTTTATGGCAAGCAAAGTGACAGTCAGGTTGCGGCCGGGCAGTTGCTCGAAGCGTACACCCAAGCTGGTTTCCTTTGTTCATTGGATTACACCAAATGTTTTGATTGCCTGCGGCCTTCATCTAGTGTTGCCATGTTCATCAAAACTGGTTTGGATTCCCGATTTTGTACCATCATCAAAGATCTTTGGGATTCTCATGTTCGATGGCCTTCTTGGGGGGGCACTGTGCATCACGAAGTTTTGGCCACTCACGGCCTTCCGATTCCTCAAGGGGAATGCCTGGGACCGATCACCTGCTGCCTCTGGCTGTCTGCTGGCCAGAGATACGTGGAAGCTCAAATGGGGGCTGCTCTGACAAGTTCCATTTACATGGACGACCGATCCTTCGTGGCTCGGTCTGCTGAGGAGTTGGTGCAAGCTCAGCGCTGCTGGGCGGACTGGAGTGGTAGGGTAGGGTTGCTTGAGTCTGCTTCTAAGACCCAAATGACAGCTCGTTCTCAGGCTCAGAAGCGATCGTTGCAGACCTTGATTCCTGCCGAATGGTTTCGCTCAGATATCACGATGCTGGGGGTTGTCACTAAGGGGGCCCCTAGGTGTAATGCCCAGCAAGAAAGGGATAGGCTGACTAAGGCTAAGCTCCGTCTGACTTCTTTGTCCACGCTTCGTCTTGGCTCTGGGCTCTTTGCCGTCTACGCTCGGGTTTTTTCCCTCAGTCTCTGTTCTTACGGGTGGCTGTCTCGTCTTCCTCGGAAAATGGATTGCGATGCTCTCTGGACCGCCGTCAAGAAAGGTCAGAAGGTGTTGTACTCTGCGAACACTTGGTTGCGTGCCATGGTCCATGGGGGTCTGAACCATCTGGACATCATCACGGCGTGCAACCTGTTCAGGGTCGTGTCGGTTTTGCGCTTTCGGGGTCAGGCGTTCTGGTCCAACGGGTCAGGTAGTCTCGTGGCTGAGTTGCGCAAGTGGTTCAAGGCCAGGAGGTTCTCGGAGGTGCGTCCTTGGGAGTGGAGTCATGTGGATGATCCGTCCATCCAGGTGTCTGCTTTGAACTCTGACAAGGTTCATCTCAAGCGCATGAGTCATCTCATCCGGGAAGGTTGGAGGTTCTACTGTTGGGACCAGTTTCTTCAAACGTCTCGTCATGAGATCTCTACGGTCAGTCATGTCCAGGCATCTGATCTTAGGCAGGTCAAGTGGTCTGCGGTCAGGGCTTTGTCTGAGTCTTGCGCGGCGTGTCGCACGGTTGCGGTCGGGGGCACGGTGAGTCCGGCGTGGTTCCATGCTCGGGATGGGGAGCCCTTCTCCTCTTCTTGTCCTTGGTGTCCCGCCTTGGGGTCCTGGTTTCATGTGTGCTGGGAATGCGAGTTCAGTCCTCTTCTGGCGTCTCGTCCTCCCACTCCGTCTTTGGGTATCACTCGTCGTTTCGGTTGGAGTCCTAACCCTGGTCCTGTGCTGAAGTACCTCGCTGAGGTTCAGAAAGCGATCTGGGATCACCGGTATGGCCGGTCATAAGATGTCTGGAGCATGTTTCATGTGGCTGCGTGCCACGTTTCACTAAGGGTTCACTTGGCAGGCTCTCTGCCCACTAAGGCTTCTGTATCTGGGATCACCGGTTTGGCCGGTCTTAAGATGTCTGGAGCATGTTTCATGTGGCTGTGTACCACGTTTCACTAAGGTTTCACTTGGCAGGCTCTCTGCCCACTAAGGTTTCTGTATCTGGGATCACCGGTTTGGCCGGTCATTGGATGTCTGGAGCATGTTTCATGTGGCTGTGTGCCACGTTTCACTAAGGGTTCACTTGGCAGGCTCTCTGCCCACTAAGGCTTTTGTATCTGGGATCACCGGTTTGGCCGGTCATAAGATGTCTGGAGCATGTTTCATGTGGCTGTGTACCACGTTTCACTCAGGTTTCACTTGGCAGGCTCTCTGCCCACTAAGGCTTCTGTGTCCATTTTGGACTCACCTAGGTTTGGCAACGTGCGCTGCCGGTTCGACGTCAGTGCATGCGATTGCAGCGGCGGTTGCTTCTGCGATCTACAAAATACTACCGCGGCCCAGGTAATTTCCCATGTGCATACAGGTGGCTGCGACATAGATCTGTTCCCATGTGCAATGCGGTTAAGAAAACCAAAGACTCTGTTCCTAGTCACTCCACCCAAGACAGCCTGAGGATTCTCAGGGAATTTTGGGCCGATATTTGGAATAGACGTCAAATCTCTTGGGATGATATTTGGGATGATTTGGTTACTCACACTCCACCACGCCCTGCTCCTGACAGCTGGCCAAGCCTCACACCGGAACAACTCCGTTCTGCCACCAAGTGTAGCCGCGGCAGTGCGCCGGGGCTTGACGGCTGGAGAGCTGAGGAACTTAGTTTGTTCAGTGACGAAATGTGGCAGGTCATGTCCGGGTTCTATGATCATTGTGAAGAGCTCGGAAACATTCCTACCATATGGCGATGTGTTCGCCAAGTGCATATCCCGAAAGGGAAACCACCTGAAGCTGACGGCAGCATGCTGGCGGACAACATGCGTCCCATAGCTGTGATGTCGATAATCTGGCGAATCTGCAGCCGAGCCAGATTCAAACAAACTGAGGTTCAGGAATGGATCCACACATCCACCCCCGAATTCATGTTTGGGGGAATTCCCCAAAAAGGTGTTGAGGATGCTATCTCTCACATAATCCTCAAAGACATGCATAGCTGGCCGGTTGGTACACTTGACCTGACAAAAGCTTTCGATTATTCTGACCCTGAGATAATCTGCAAACTCTTTGTCCACCAAGGTATGCCGCGCAAAGCTGCACGCATGTTGTTAAGCATGTGGAGCGAACAAATCCGTTTTCTTCAGCTCCATGACGAATTTTTCCCAAACAACCATGTTGTCAAGCGCTCCCTGCCGCAAGGTGACTGCTTTAGCATGTTAGGCATGTGTGTTTTGCTTACTCCCATTGCCAATCACATTCAGAGAAAATACCCTTGTTGCGTTCAAGCTTTATATGCCGATGATCGTTCTTTCACTTGTTCCACTGCGACTGAAATATGGCAAGTTCGAAATGAATGGCATGTTTGGAGCAATAAGGTTGGTCTTCAAGAAAACCCCACCAAAGAGCAATATTACCACCGCAACGTTCAAGGTTGCCGATCTCTCGAGGATGCCGGCTGTCCTCCAGAAACAGTTTCCACTTCCATCACCTTGTTGGGATTCCAGTTCATGGGAGTGACCCAAAGAAAAGCCAAAGACCGAGAACTGACAAGACTCACTGAGGCCAAAGAAGTTCTTCGAAAATGTAGGTGCCTCCCAGGTTCCAAAACACGTAAAGCTGCAGTTGCCAGGGTTTGTGCCCCAGCAAAAGCAAGTTGGGGATGGCTGTTTCGAAGACCCACTCATGCTGAAAGCAACGCTTTCTTTCAGGGAGCAAAAGCGCTGCATCAGTGGCCAAAGCAGTCAGCCGTACCTTTACTCCAAATTTTTACTGGCCATTGGTGGGACTTAGGTTTTGCTGCCACGGTTACGACTCTCCGAGTCCTCACCCGCTATGTTCACAAAACACAGATGCAGTTGCAAAACTGGCCACCCAAAATGAGTGGCTGGACGGGTAGCTTTAGAAAAGGCATGCAAGAACTTGGGTTCGCTGAGGCTGGTAGTTGGACCTGGACGCACCCGATGCTTGAAACTATTCAGATTCAACCAACCACGCTGCCTGAAAAGGCGACCGAAGTGCTGTCACATAGGCTCAGAGATGCTTGGCGAATCAGAAAATATGAGGAATTCTTGGAACTTGACCGACGCGACTCAACGGTTTGTGCAGACATTCCATGTGACCTGACCCGCATTAATATTCTGCGCAAGAAAAAACTCAACAGTCACGAACTGGCTGTTGTAACTGGTGCTTTCATTTCACCTCAATGTCGAAATGCCATGGGAGGTGCTGAAGAAACATGCCCTTATTGCCAACATGTTTGTGCCACTGTGCAGCACATGCTTTGGGAATGTACTCAGAACCCACACCGTGATCCTACTATTAGACCCCACGATGTGCTGCAGGAAAGACTCGCATGGCCCACTACTGATCCTACTAAGGTGGACCATGACAACAAACTTCTAAGGTTTGCAGCTGCAACACGTGCTGATGTGTTGCAGCAGCGCCACGACGACTAGAACCACCTCCATTCTATTCTGGCGATCGCCTCTGGCCTGCGCTGCGGCTGCGGGCAAGTGCGGGCAGCGTCATTGTCTACATCATCATCAGATTTCATGGTAAGCAGCTTCTCCTGCGCCTCCAGCCACAGCAGAGTGGCACGGTCGCTGCGGGCTCGTCACGGGTGCCAGGCAGGAGAGAAAATTAACGTGGCATGGCCCACGTTTGTTGCAGAAGAATTTGAAAAGAAAAATACAAAAGAAAAAGAAAAAGAACAAAAGTCAAAAAAGGAAGACAAAAAGAACCAATTCAAGAATTTGAATGTGCATTGCACGAAGAGAGCGATTTTTCAAATCGCCAAAAAAGACAAGAGCCATAAGGCCAATCCTAGGATGATGGCTGGCTGGCTGCTGATGCTTTGCTGGTCTGTGCCTTGCTGTGCTGCATTTGACACCAACAAGGACCTGGCCGCCAACCATGACGTCAATTACACCGGCCGCCCTGGATTGATTGTGGAAAATGCCACAACTCAGTCTAACGGCCCCCCAGAGATGACCCGCAACGTGAAAAAATGGCAGCTGACAATCGATGTGCCTCGCAGCGGGCGGCAGATTGCAGATGCGCTGAGCGAATATGGCTCCGTGGATGTGGAAGCTGGTTTCAGACTTTTGACGGAAGTAAGTGCAACTACTTTCGATATCCACCCCTACGGTTCTGGTTCTGACCCCTCAAAACGTAAATTCCCTGGGATCCTCAATGTGATTTTGGATTTGGTCGCTAGGTGTCACCATGGGAAGTTTGGATTTTACCCTCTGAATTTTGTTTCCTCCAAAATGTGGAATTTGGGTTTGGAATGGTGGAAAATTGGGTTTCGCCCCTGGGAATCTTTTCCCCTCGAAATGTGGAATTTTGAGATGGGATGGTTTGATGAAAAAATTCATTGGTCACCCTTTCTTATCTGGTTTTGTTTGGGCACCATGGGAGAAATTTGCGGCTGGTTGCTTAGGTACGGTGTCACTAAGCAATTTGTGCTTGCATGTCTCAAACGGGCTCAAGACAAACGCAAACGAAAACGAATCATCAAACGCTTGAAAAACAAACGCTCAGTGAAAAAATGCAGTGATCTCAAACGCTGTCAGAAGTTGTTGAAACCACATGTTGCATGTGCTGCTAGAAAATGCAGCACGCACAGACTCGGAAAAGCACGCCTGAAACACAGACGATGTGCTTTGAAGCTTCGGATGAGATGGACATATGTTCGAACCAATGGCATGGATGTTTCCCTGTCATACTCTTTCCTCTATTCGGGTTTTCCGAGACCCGAAGAATGGCCACTTGGATATGATGCACTGAGCTGGTACAAGCCTGATGCGAACAATTGCATTTTTGCCTCTGAGTGGTTGCAAGGTGGATATAAACGAAGGACGCAAAGGAAAAAGAATTACAGTGACAATGACAACGCCGCGGTTAGGAGTTTGATCCAAGGTTTGAAGGTATGTCTTAACCAAGGTTCTTTTCCGAAAGAGTTTGAATCCGTGATGTCCTTGTTAGGTCAAGTGGTCGGTCAAAATTCACCCAAAAAGATGTTTAAGAAAAAGAAAACGGTGAAACAGGAGCCCAAACCTGACCCGTCTAGACAAGAGCAGCTGCGGGACAACAAAGATGAAGACTACACCATTCTTGAGACAGGATGGTGGAAAATGAATGGTGCGTGGAAACAGTATTGCAGAGACCCACAAACAGGATGGTGGTGGTGGGACAAGCGTGGTGACAAAGTTACCACAGTGGACCACAACCCCAGACATAATGAAAAGAAACAAGACACTGAGGTTCACAAACCTCAACAGAATACTCCAAACCTTGCCAAGGTGCGAGCTCTCAACCCAGTTGAATGGAACAAGCCAATCAAACTTGTGGATGCGCAAACAGTTTGCCAGGCCATTAAGGAAGGAAAAGACTGGGATGGAAATATTTGCTGCAGTCATGACAGACAGGTCACCCAAGAACTTCGTGACTTGTACACAAGCTTTGGTTTCACGAAAGGACTCACTTTGGTTTTGTCAGCTGATGCAATGAATCAGCTTGGCATCACACTGAGCAGGACCAGGCTTCAAAGGACAAACCAACATGCCAAGGTCGAAGACATTGCCTTGCTCGGTTTAGGCTCTGACTACCCTTGGAGAACTCACCCTGTTAAAGTTGATCCCAACAATGTTACTACGGTTGAAAGGGAATTGGTCAGAATTGTCGTTCCCTCTCACTATAGAGAACTCTTTGTATCTGAACCCCAAAAGGAACGTGTCGTTGATGTCATTTCCGACTTGGCCACTTTTGGATGTCGTGCACATGTCCTCACAGGTGGCAGGTGGGAAAGACAGGAATGGCAGAAACAAAGTTCAAGTTTGGTAGGATGGCTTAAGCTCACCAAAAAAGATGCGGAAACCCTCCTGGAAAAATCAGGGAAAAAAGGTATTTTTATCAATAAGAATATTGATACCTCTAAGGAACGTCCGCATTTTGTGTGGACCAAACACGAAAAAGATGAAACCGATGAAGCATACTACCAGAGATGCCTTCGTCTTTCAGGCGAGAGAGGCCAGCCGATGTGCTTACGGAAAGGGTTGGGAAATGACATTGGTTTCACAAAGAAATCAGATGAAGACATCGAAAAGAAACCCAAACGAATTCAGATTTCTGGAGTTCCCAGGGACTGGATGGCGGAAGAACTGGTTGATTTCCTCAAACAACAAGGATGGACCCAAATGACTATTCACAATAGAAGAAGGGTCAACAAGAAAAATTTTTTGGAACGCCTGTGGAATGCCTCCTGTTGCATACCCATACGACCAGGGTCTTTGGGTGTATGAAGGTGCCACTGTGTTTACCATAATAGTCAACGACTCGGTCCATAAACCTGCAGCGCCAAACAGCACCACTGCAGTCAGAGGACCAAGGAAGACATGGGATGAAATTAAGGATCAGCCTCCACAGACGGCCAACACGCGGGGGCGCCCCGCGAAGAGGCAGGCCAAAGAACCCGATGAGCGACATCGGTCCAGATCTGCCGCTGAGAAGCCCGAAAAGGGCGATGAAAATAAGGACCCAATGGAAGTCGAAAAAACGCAGTTGGACTCTCAGACTCAGCCTGAAGCGATTGACAAGCAGAGTTCAAAGCCAACCTCGCAGTCTCTTGGTAATTTGACGGATGCCTTAACCCAAAACTGGACGCTGGCCGATCAAGGTGGATGCGGTGACTGTGGGTACCGGGCATTAATAGACAACTTTCATTATCAAACCACTGGTGAGACTCTTTCCAAAGAAGAATGCATCAAAAATGCCAATCTATTTCGTACGGAAGTGGTACGACATGTTCGCAAACATCAAGATAGGTACGAAAACCATGTCAGAGGTGGGAAAGAGGCCTTTCCTGCCTTTTGTGACAATGCGTTGAAGCAAACTCACTGGATATGTGGACTGCTGCTGCAAGCAGCAGCAGAGGTGAAATCATGCTGCATAGTGGTGTGGAATCAAAAAGATGAAGTTCTGGAAAGATTCACTTTCGCTCCTGAGTGGAGTCCACAGGGGATGCCCAGAATGAAAAAAGAAGCACCAATCCTGGTGGTGTACAGAAACGACAAACATTATCAATCCGTCCGACCACCCCAGGATCAGGACGGCATGACTAAGGTGCCCAAACACTGGGCGCGAGAGACAGCCAAACCCGAGGCCGAAGCACTTGGAGGCGCTGGACCAAGCGTTGGAGAATCGCCTAAAACCCTGCACACGCTCTCCCCTGGCTCTTCCCATGCTCCTTCGCTCCATACTCTCCCCGCCTCCTCCTTTCGCGGATCCTCGGGTGGGGGTGTGATGATCACGCGCGCGCCGTCCCTGCACTCCTTGGTTCCTTCCGCGTCTTCTCCTCCGCGTCTGCGCGCGGTTGTGCACGGCCATGCGGCGGGTGGTGGTTCTTCGGGTGCCCTTGCGCGACCCCATCCTCCGCGCTCCCCCTCTCTTCTTACCTTGGCTGCCTCCCCTCACTCCTGCGAACCTCCGCGTGCTGCCATCAAATCCCAGCAGTTGCAGCATCCGAGTGAAACGGTTGCAAGACCATTCAAAAGATGCAGGTTCAAGCAAAGCAGTTGTGACTCAAGGATTGAAGACATGAAGTTTCTTGCACCCTCTGAGAACGATAAAGCTTCGGTTTTATCTTTAACCTCAGAAACTCACCTCAATTTGACAGACAACCTGACCAAGGACCGGTCGGGTACTAAGGACAAAGGCGCAGTCAAAAATGACAACACAGAATGCGACTTTCGCCCTGACACTGCTCCATATCCTCGACACCTCAAGCGGCTGGATGCTAAGACGCTTGCCAAACCGCAAGGACCTCAGGTATGGGTTTGTCCGCTGCCTGACTGCCGGCATGAAATCAGAATTCCTGCAGGTTTGCAAGCGAGAGCCAAGCTTCAAGCTGCAAAAAGTTCACACCTGAAAAATAGACATACAGATTCCGAAAGAGCTGAATGCCCGCGACTCGGTGCTCAAACTCAGATCACAGTCCCGACCTCGGAACTTCCTGAAAGTGGCAGAGCCTGGAGTTGCCCAGAATGCGGGAAAGGACTCCCACTGTTGCCAAAAGTTTGGCACGAAGCTAGTGTCCGCAAACATTTTGCCGAGGCACACCCTGACACAAATCCAACTCAGGCGTACAGGAAGAAACAAAGAACTGACAAAGGCCTTCGAGCTCGTATGAAACTGCGAGGCAGACATATAGGTCAGCTCAAACAACAGAAGGTCGCTGACAACCTGAAAGTTTGGGCTCCGCAAACGGGGCATGATGTTCGCCAAATTCTTCTCAAACATAACCCCAAAGAAGAGAGACGCAAACTTGATTTGACGTCCGTGCTTGTTTGTGCCAAATGCAGACGAAAAGGGACACCATGTAGATTCAAAACCACCGCATGCACTGATGAAACTCAACCTATCCCGACTCAATTGCTGGGTTGGATCCGAAACATGGCTTTGCGACACCCTGCGAACCAAGGTGCCATCAGAAACGGACTTGGTATGACTGAAGCCGAGGTTGCAAATGCAAACTTCCAAACCAAAAAAAGAGTCAACGGTAAAGGGCCAGCCAAGTGGCTTAGCGGTCCGTTTGCCACCACTTTTCAGGCGGCGCAAGCTGCAGGGCACTTAGTTACTGAGGTCCTTCCGCCGGATGCCATGCGCCACCCGGACTCCACTGCTAAAAAGTTTCCCAAGGGATACCTGACCTGTAAAATTTGCCACAAGGTTAATCCACTTGGTGCTGTCAAAATCTGGACGAATCCATGCCTGGGACATGATCCCACCTCCAAAGGTTTCCAGTCTCAGAAAAGATATTGGCAGTCTTTAACTAAAACCCAAAAAAAAGCCCTCAGTCAAGCATGGGGGAAGACTCTGCAGCAGGGGGAGGAGCTTTTTGCCTCCCAATCCTCCAACAAGCGCAGCCGTAGAGCCAAAGAACATGACCATAATGATAAGGTTGCTGTGAGAATTGGTGAAGCGTCCCATCCAGGACCAAGATCACGAAAATTGCGCAACTTGGATCAACATGTGTCAGTTTGGACATGCAACACTCAAGGACCCAAACAATCGTGGACCTTACAACAGCTGCTCCAAACCCAGGAGCAGGCACCTCAGATTGTGCTGCTTCAGGAATGCTCTTTTAGCCAGGCTGAATGGACCACATTTCAAAAAACTTGTTGGTCTGTGGGGTACAGAAGTTTTTTCTCCGGTGCGCAAAGCACCGTCAATCGACACTACGGAGGAGCTGCAGTCTTGGTTAAATCTTCACTACCTTGTAGACCGGCCTGGTCACACACTCACAAAGGAGGTAGTGCCCAAGCTGTGTGGGTGGGATCAACTCTGGTCATCTCCACTTACCTGGCTCCTAACAGTGATGCAGAAACCGTGAGTGCAGCTGTGGCTCAAACTTTCCACTCTCTCGCTCCAAGACATCGTTTTATTTTGGGGGGGGATTACAATGCCACACCCGAAGAGAATCCCTTTCTTCATTTCTTGATTCCTAGGGAATTTCGTATTCATGCCACTCAAACCCCAACGCGGTGGCAAGGAAACCGCGATATTGACTACTATATCAGTAACCTTGAGCCCACTGAGGTCGAAACGCTTCCTGATGTTGTAGCCGACCACAAAATTGTCAAAACTTTTTTCGATTTATCTACCGAACCTGTTTTAGGTTTCCAACAAGCCAACATTCCTAGAATCCTCCCGAAGGACCCGGAAGTTGCTGAACGAATCCAAATCAAATTGGCTCAGCTCTGGCCGCAGTTTTCCACACAACTTCCAGAGCGATGGTCAGTCAATGTTGACCAGGACTGGCAGATGCTTTCGCAAACTTTTTTTCAAGCCCTAGTTTGTGCAGTCAGGGCTGCTGCCCCTGACATGCTGCAGCGAGTGTCTCCGGCCTTACTGAGGAAAGGAAAGGCCACTGAGGTCTCTCTTAAACAGAAAGAACACATGAAACGACATCCTGCTGGAGCTATGGCTACTCACCGCCAAAGAGTTCTGCGCAGATTGATTGGAAGGTTGCGGGAAGCCCAGCGAAACTTGGATCAAGACAGGCAAAATATCACTGAAAGCCGAGTTCTCTGGAATAAAATCAGACGGTGTTCTATGTACAACCATGATTGGGGTATACAAAGAAACCTTCGGCATCTTGAAACGCTTTTGGAACGGTTCAATCATGAAGATGACTACACCAGACTTCAACGATGGAGAAACAACATGGAACATGACAAGGCTGCATACAGGTGGCTGCGACATAGATCTGTTCCCATGTGCAATGCGGTTAAGAAAACCAAAGACTCTGTTCCTAGTCACTCCACCCAAGACAGCCTGAGGATTCTCAGGGAATTTTGGGCCGATATTTGGAATAGACGTCAAATCTCTTGGGATGATATTTGGGATGATTTGGTTACTCACACTCCACCACGCCCTGCTCCTGACAGCTGGCCAAGCCTCACACCGGAACAACTCCGTTCTGCCACCAAGTGTAGCCGCGGCAGTGCGCCGGGGCTTGACGGCTGGAGAGCTGAGGAACTTAGTTTGTTCAGTGACGAAATGTGGCAGGTCATGTCCGGGTTCTATGATCATTGTGAAGAGCTCGGAAACATTCCTACCATATGGCGATGTGTTCGCCAAGTGCATATCCCGAAAGGGAAACCACCTGAAGCTGACGGCAGCATGCTGGCGGACAACATGCGTCCCATAGCTGTGATGTCGATAATCTGGCGAATCTGCAGCCGAGCCAGATTCAAACAAACTGAGGTTCAGGAATGGATCCACACATCCACCCCCGAATTCATGTTTGGGGGATTCCCCAAAAAGGTGTTGAGGATGCTATCTCTCACATAATCCTCAAAGACATGCATAGCTGGCCGGTTGGTACACTTGACCTGACAAAAGCTTTCGATTATTCTGACCCTGAGATAATCTGCAAACTCTTTGTCCACCAAGGTATGCCGCGCAAAGCTGCACGCATGTTGTTAAGCATGTGGAGCGAACAAATCCGTTTTCTTCAGCTCCATGACGAATTTTTCCCAAACAACCATGTTGTCAAGCGCTCCCTGCCGCAAGGTGACTGCTTTAGCATGTTAGGCATGTGTGTTTTGCTTACTCCCATTGCCAATCACATTCAGAGAAAAATACCCTTGTTGCGTTCAAGCTTTATATGCCGATGATCGTTCTTTCACTTGTTCCACTGCGACTGAAATATGGCAAGTTCGAAATGAATGGCATGTTTGGAGCAATAAGGTTGGTCTTCAAGAAAACCCCACCAAAGAGCAATATTACCACCGCAACGTTCAAGGTTGCCGATCTCTCGAGGATGCTGGCTGTCCTCCAGAAACAGTTTCCACTTCCATCACCTTGTTGGGATTCCAGTTCATGGGAGTGACCCAAAGAAAAGCCAAAGACCGAGAACTGACAAGACTCACTGAGGCCAAAGAAGTTCTTCGAAAATGTAGGTGCCTCCCAGGTTCCAAAACACGTAAAGCTGCAGTTGCCAGGGTTTGTGCCCCAGCAAAAGCAAGTTGGGGATGGCTGTTTCGAAGACCCACTCATGCTGAAAGCAACGCTTTCTTTCAGGGAGCAAAAGCGCTGCATCAGTGGCCAAAGCAGTCAGCCGTACCTTTACTCCAAATTTTTACTGGCCATTGGTGGGACTTAGGTTTTGCTGCCACGGTTACGACTCTCCGAGTCCTCACCCGCTATGTTCACAAAACACAGATGCAGTTGCAAAACTGGCCACCCAAAATGAGTGGCTGGACGGGTAGCTTTAGAAAAGGCATGCAAGAACTTGGGTTCGCTGAGGCTGGTAGTTGGACCTGGACGCACCCGATGCTTGAAACTATTCAGACTCAACCAACCACGCTGCCTGAAAAGGCGACCGAAGTGCTGTCACATAGGCTCAGAGATGCTTGGCGAATCAGAAAATATGAGGAATTCTTGGAACTTGACCGACGCGACTCAACGGTTTGTGCAGACATTCCATGTGACCTGACCCGCATTAATATTCTGCGCAAGAAAAAACTCAACAGTCACGAACTGGCTGTTGTAACTGGTGCTTTCATTTCCCCTCAATGTCGAAATGCCATGGGAGGTGCTGAAGAAACATGCCCTTATTGCCAACATGTTTGTGCCACTGTGCAGCACATGCTTTGGGAATGTACTCAGAACCCACACCGTGATCCTACTATTAGACCCCACGATGTGCTGCAGGAAAGACTCGCATGGCCCACTACTGATCCTACTAAGGTGGACCATGACAACAAACTTCTAAGGTTTGCAGCTGCAACACGTGCTGATGTGTTGCAGCAGCGCCACGACGACTAGAACCACCTCCATTCTATTCTGGCGATCGCCTCTGGCCTGCGCTGCGGCTGCGGGCAAGTGCGGGCAGCGTCATTGTCTACATCATCAATCATCATCACCGCGGCCCAGGTAAGCAGCTTCTCCTGCGCCTCCAGCCACAGCAGAGTGGCACGGTCGCTGCGGGCTCGTCACGGGTGCCAGGCAGGAGAGAAAATTAACGTGGCATGGCCCACGTTTGTTGCAGAAGAATTTGAAAAGAAAAATGCAAAAGAAAAAGAAAAAGAACAAAAGTCAAAAAAGGAAGACAAAAAGAACCAATTCAAGAATTTGAATGTGCATTGCACGAAGAGAGCGATTTTTCAAATCGCCAAAAAAGACAAGAGCCATAAGGCCAATCCTAGGATGATGGCTGGCTGGCTGCTGATGCTTTGCTGGTCTGTGCCTTGCTGTGCTGCATTTGACACCAACAAGGACCTGGCCGCCAACCATGACGTCAATTACACCGGCCGCCCTGGATTGATTGTGGAAAATGCCACAACTCAGTCTAACGGCCCCCCAGAGATGACCCGCAACGGGAAAAAATGGCAGCTGACAATCGATGTGCCTCGCAGCGGGCGGCAGATTGCAGATGCGCTGAGCGAATATGGCTCCGTGGATGTGGAAGCTGGTTTCAGACTTTTGACGGAAGTAAGTGCAACTACTTTCGATATCCACCCCTACGGTTCTGGTTCTGGCCCCTCAAAACGTAAATTCCCTGGGATCCTCAATGTGATTTTGGATTTGGTCGCTAGGTGTCACCATGGGAAGTTTGGATTTTACCCTCTGAATTTTGTTTCCTCCAAAATGTGGAATTTGGGTTTGGAATGGTGGAAAATTGGGTTTCGCCCCTGGGAATCTTTTCCCCTCGAAATGTGGAATTTTGAGATGGGATGGTTTGATGAAAAATTCATTGGTCACCCTTTCTTATCTGGTTTTGTTTGGGCACCATGGGAGAAATTTGCGGCTGGTTGCTTAGGTACGGTGTCACTAAGCAATTTGTGCTTGCATGTCTCAAACGGGCTCAAGACAAACGCAAACGAAAACGAATCATCAAACGCTTGAAAAACAAACGCTCAGTGAAAAAATGCAGTGATCTCAAACGCTGTCAGAAGTTGTTGAAACCACATGTTGCATGTGCTGCTAGAAAATGCAGCACGCACAGACTCGGAAAAGCACGTCTGAAACACAGACGATGTGCTTTGAAGCTTCGGATGAGATGGACATATGTTCGAACCAATGGCATGGATGTTTCCCTGTCATACTCTTTCCTCTATTCGGGTTTTCCGAGACCCGAAGAATGGCCACTTGGATATGATGCACTGAGCTGGTACAAGCCTGATGCGAACAATTGCATTTTTGCCTCTGAGTGGTTGCAAGGTGGATATAAACGAAGGACGCAAAGGAAAAAGAATTACAGTGACAATGACAACGCCGCGGTTAGGAGTTTGATCCAAGGTTTGAAGGTATGTCTTAACCAAGGTTCTTTTCCGAAAGAGTTTGAATCCGTGATGTCCTTGTTAGGTCAAGTGGTCGGTCAAAATTCACCCAAAAAGATGTTTAAGAAAAAGAAAACGGTGAAACAGGAGCCCAAACCTGACCCGTCTAGACAAGAGCAGCTGCGGGACAACAAAGATGAAGAATACACCATTCTTGAGACAGGATGGTGGAAAATGAATGGTGCGTGGAAACAGTATTGCAGAGACCCACAAACAGGATGGTGGTGGTGGGACAAGCGTGGTGACAAAGTTACCACAGTGGACCACAACCCCAGACATAATGAAAAGAAACAACCCCAGACATAATGAAAAGAAACAAGACACTGAGGTTCACAAACCTCAACAGAATACTCCAAACCTTGCCAAGGTGCGAGCTCTCAACCCAGTTGAATGGAACAAGCCAATCAAACTTGTGGATGCGCAAACAGTTTGCCAGGCCATTAAGGAAGGAAAAGACTGGGATGGAAATATTTGCTGCAGTCATGACAGACAGGTCACCCAAGAACTTCGTGACTTGTACACAAGCTTTGGTTTCACGAAAGGACTCACTTTGGTTTTGTCAGCTGATGCAATGAATCAGCTTGGCATCACACTGAGCAGGACCAGGCTTCAAAGGACAAACCAACATGCCAAGGTCGAAGACATTGCCTTGCTCGGTTTAGGCTCTGACTACCCTTGGAGAACTCACCCTGTTAAAGTTGATCCCAACAATGTTACCACGGTTGAAAGGGAATTGGTCAGAATTGTCGTTCCCTCTCACTATAGAGAACTCTTTGTATCTGAACCCCAAAAGGAACGTGTCGTTGATGTCATTTCCGACTTGGCCACTTTTGGATGTCGTGCACATGTCCTCACAGGTGGCAGGTGGGAAAGACAGGAATGGCAGAAACAAAGTTCAAGTTTGGTAGGATGGCTTAAGCTCACCAAAAAAGATGCGGAAACCCTCCTGGAAAAATCAGGGAAAAAAGGTATTTTTATCAATAAGAATATTGATACCTCTAAGGAACGTCCGCATTTTGTGTGGACCAAACACGAAAAAGATGAAACCGATGAAGCATACTACCAGAGATGCCTTCGTCTTTCAGGCGGGAGAGGCCAGCCGATGTGCTTACGGAAAGGGTTGGGAAATGACATTGGTTTCACAAAGAAATCAGATGAAGACATCGAAAAGAAACCCAAACGAATTCAGATTTCTGGAGTTCCCAGGGACTGGATGGCGGAAGAACTGGTTGATTTCCTCAAACAACAAGGATGGACCCAAATGACTATTCACAATAGAAGAAGGGTCAACAAGAAAATTTTTTGGAACGCCTGTGGAATGCCTCCTGTTGCATACCCATACGACCAGGGTCTTTGGGTGTATGAAGGTGCCACTGTGTTTACCATAATAGTCAACGACTCGGTCCATAAACCTGCAGCGCCAAACAGCACCACTGCAGTCAGAGGACCAAGGAAGACATGGGATGAAATTAAGGATCAGCCTCCACAGACGGCCAACACGCGGGGGCGCCCCGCGAAGAGGCAGGCCAAAGAACCCGATGAGCGACATCGGTCCAGATCTGCCGCTGAGAAGCCCGAAAAGGGCGATGAAAATAAGGACCCAATGGAAGTCGAAAAAACGCAGTTGGACTCTCAGACTCAGCCTGAAGCGATTGACAAGCAGAGTTCAAAGCCAACCTCGCAGTCTCTTGGTAATTTGACGGATGCCTTAACCCAAAACTGGACGCTGGCCGATCAAGGTGGATGCGGTGACTGTGGGTACCGGGCATTAATAGACAACTTTCATTATCAAACCACTGGGGAGACTCTTTCCAAAGAAGAATGCATCAAAAATGCCAATCTATTTCGTACGGAAGTGGTACGACATGTTCGCAAACATCAAGATAGGTACGAAAACCATGTCAGAGGTGGGAAAGAGGCCTTTCCTGCCTTTTGTGACAATGCGTTGAAGCAAACTCACTGGATATGTGGACTGCTGCTGCAAGCAGCAGCAGAGGTGAAATCATGCTGCATAGTGGTGTGGAATCAAAAAGATGAAGTTCTGGAAAGATTCACTTTCGCTCCTGAGTGGAGTCCACAGGGGATGCCCAGAATGAAAAAAGAAGCACCAATCCTGGTGGTGTACAGAAACGACAAACATTATTAATCCGTCCGACCACCCCAGGATCAGGACGGCATGACTAAGGTGCCCAAACACTGGGCGCGAGAGACAGCCAAACCCGAGGCCGAAGCACTTGGAGGCGCTGGACCAAGCGTTGGAGAATCGCCTAAAACCCTGCACACGCTCTCCCCTGGCTCTTCCCATGCTCCTTCGCTCCATACTCTCCCCGCCTCCTCCTTTCG